CACACACACACACACACACACACATCCACACACACACACACACAAACAAACACACACACACACACACACACACACACACACACACACACACACACACACACACACACACACACACACACACACACACACACACACACACACTTCGGCACACCCCTCACACGTTTCGTGGCCCCATAGGGAGCTCCACCGACGGCCCCAGTGCTGCCGCCCGCATGCGTCCCGCACACCCAATTCGGCACACCCCTCACACGTTTCGTGGCCCCATAGGGAGCTCCACCGAAGGCCCCAGTGCTGCCGTCCGCATGCGTCCCGCACACCCAATCGGCACACCCCTCACACGTTTCGTGGCCCCATAGGGAGCTCCACCGAAGGCCCCAGTGCTGCCGTCCGCATGCGTCCCGCACACCCATTCGGCACACCCCTCACACGTTTCGTGGCCCCATAGGGAGCTCCACCGAAGGCCCCATGGCTGCCGTCCGCATGCGTCCCGCACACCCATTTCGGCACACCCCTCACACGTTTCGTGGCCCCATAGGGAGCTCCACCGAAGGCCCCAGTGCTGCCGTCCGCATGCGTCCCGCACACCCAATCGGCACACTCCTCACACGCTTCGTGGCCCCATAGGGAGCTCCACCAAGGCCCCAGTGCTGCCGCCCGCATGCGTCCCGCACACCCACTTCGGCACACCCCTCACACGTTTCGTGGCCCCATAGGGAGCTCCACCGAAGGCCCCAATGCCGCCGCCCGCATGCGTCCCGCACACCCATTTCGGCACACCCCTCACACGTTTCATGGCCCCATAGGGAGCTCCACCGACGGCCCCAGTGCTGCCGCCCGCATGCGTCCCGCACACCCAATTCGGCACACCCCTCACACGTTTCGTGGCCCCACAGGAAGCTCCGCCGAAGGCCCCAATGCTGCCGCCCGCATGCGTCCCGCACACCCACTTCGGCACACCCCTCACACGTTTCGTGGCCCCATAGGGAGCTCCACCGAAAGCCCCAGCGGCCGCGCTCACATGCGTCCCCGCCACCCATCCCGGCACGCCCCTCACAACAACAGGTTTCGTGGCCCCATAGGGAGCTCCACCGAAGGCCCCAATGGCACCGCCCGCATGCATCACCACCCGCACCCAATTCGGCACACCCCTCACACGTTTCGTGGCCCCATAGGGAGCTCCACCGAAGGCCCCAGTGGCGGCGCTCACATACGTCCCCGCCACACATCCCAGTACACCCCTCACGCGCTTCGTGGCCCCATAAGGAGCTCCACCGTAGGCCCCAGTAGCGGCGCTTACATGCGTCTCCGCCGCCCATCCCGGCACCCCCCCCGCAGCAGCATCATGTTTCGGGGACCCATAGGGAGCTCCACAGGAGGCCCCAGTGGCGGCCCTCACATGCGTTTCCGCCACCCATGTCGGCACGCCACGCGCGTGTTTCATGTCCCCATAAGGAGCTTCACCGAATGCCCCAGTGGCACCCATCTCGGCACACCCCTCACACGTTCCGTGGTCCTATGGGGAGTTCCACTGACGATGAAACCCGCAGCTGCGGTACTGACAACTGCATATGGCTGGGTTCTTCGCCAGGCTAACTGTTTTGTGTTGCTTTTGTTTTTGTTGGTTTGTGTTTATTTTTGTTCTTCTTATATGCCAATATTAGATCAATATATATATATATATGTATATATATATAGATATGTATATGTATACACACATACATGTTATTATGCATTATATCTACATATTTGTTTCCGCCACTGGCCCTGAGTTTTTTTTTTTTCTGAGGGGTAGTCAGAATTCCCCCCCCACCCCATTGGACCCCCCCTCCGCTGAGGGCTTTCCTTTGTGGCATTAAGCTTGCCCCCCCCCAGACTCCCCTCCTCCACCTGAGGAGCTTCGTTCCCCTCCCCCCCACGGATCCCCCCCAAACCTCCGCTGTGGGTTTCTCTGGGCGGGGATTGAAAGGGTTTCCCCTCGGACCCCTTCAACAATCTCCCTGGGTGGTGGGTGTGGGTGTGGAGGGTTCCCGTCTGGACCATCTAAAGATCTTCCTCGAGCAATGTTTTGGGAGGGGTTCGAAACGTGCTTTTCCTGGACACCTCCACCCCTTCCTCAGGAATTAGTTTTTGGAGATTCTTATCTTTTCCCTACGGACCTCTTAAAACACCCCTGGAGGTGGGTTCACGTAGGGATGAATGGGGGTTTCCCTCGGACCCCTCCAAAATCTTCGCTCAAGGGATGGTTCTGTAGAGGTCGGGATTTCTCCCTGAGCCCCCAACCAAACCTCTACTGAGTTCTTTTGTTCCCCCCCTCCCCCCGTACCCTTCCCAAAACGCCTTTGAGGTAAGGTTCTGGAGGGGGGATCACACATTTTTTGCCCGACCCTCCCAAAACATTTCCTCCCAGAGGGCCTGGATTGGTGAAAAGGGCTTCTCCTCGACCCCCAGCCCCTCCTCTGAGTTTTTTTTTGTTTTTTTTTTTTTTTTTGTTTTCCTGATTTTTCCTCGGGCCATCCTGGGTACTCGCTCTCAAGGAGGGGCTTTGGGATGGAGGGGGGTCGGGTTTTGTTCTCCCCCGGACACCCCCACAAACTCCCTCTCAGGGGTGGGGTGGGGGGGATTACAAAACTTGTCCCTCGGGACCTCTCTAAAAATCACTCTAAGGGGAAAGGTTTGGCGGAGTTCAGGGGGTTCTCATCGGCAACCCCCCAGAACCCTTCCTCGGGGGCTTTTTGGGGAGATTTGTATTGTGATTCTCTCCGGACCCGCCCCAAGCCCCCTTCAACGGAGCCTTTTGGAGGAGGTTAAGGTCCCCTCCCCTCTGATGTTCTATTTGCTTGTCTTCCAACCGTGGCCTCTCGAAAAAAGCTCTCAGGGAAGGTTTTTGTGGCTTAGGGCGGTTTCCCTTGGCTCCCCAGAATTTCTCTCAGGGGGAGGGGCTTGCGGGGATCAAGAGAATTTACTCCCCCGGACCATGAAGAAATAAATTTCCAAATTCGCTTCTCAAGGGATTTGTTGCAGGATTATGTGTTTGTTGTCGGTGATTCGTGTTCAAATCATTACTCTGTTTTTTGTTGAACGGCTTTTCTTGGGGCTCGAGGCAGCCTCCTGGGGCTTCTGGTGGGCCTCTTGGGGGCCTGCTGGCGGTCTCGGGGATCATCCCCGGGTGGAGAGCGCGATTTTTTTTTTTTGACGCGGACAGCCGATGATCAACTTCCCGCATGTCCCTCCACGGTGCAATGCGAAGGCCCCGTTACTAGCGTGCACATTGCGCGCAGAAACAGAACGCACATGC